GCGGACAGCCCGCCTGCTTTCATACCTCTCACTGTATTTCCCACTTCTATATTCCCCTTCACTTATGCCTCTCCAGCCTCTTTACTCCCCCCCCCCCCCCACCAAAAAAATCAGTGATGGTGGGGACTTTTTCCTACCACAGACGTGGCCACACATTTACAATGCTAACCAACATATATACATTTTCTTCTGTCCTCCATGGACAGGGTTAGAGATCTGTTAAACATATAGTTCAGGGATTAATTGAGCAATCAACCACAGAAGTAGTGGAGGAAAACGGGTGGTGGAGGGGACGGTGGTGAAGAGAACGGGTGGTGGAGGGGACGGTGGTGAAGGGGACGGGTGGTGAAGGGGACGGTGGTGAAGGGGACGGTGGTGAAGGGGACGGGTGGTGGAGGGGACGGTGGTGAAGGGGACGGTGGTGGAGGGGACGGTGGTGAAGGGGACGGGTGGTGGAGGGGACGGTGGTGAAGGGGACGGGTGGTGGAGGGGACGGGTGGTGAAGGGGACGGGTGGTGAAGGGGACGGGTCTTTGAAGACAGGTAAATCCTGGATCATCCGGCAGAGCCCACACACCGTCGAGGGCCCACCAAGCTTCGACAGAGGAATTTATGCGGATTTTTGATGGAAAATATTGATATATGAGAAGTAGAGGGTGACGGTGGTGTTGTATCGGGGGAGGAGTGTCCTCGGGTGGGAAGGAAGAGGAGTATAGAGGTGGGAAAGGGTGTGTGGTAAGGGAGAGAAGGGGTGTGGTGTGAATTATGGAAGGCGTTTGTGGTGGAGGGACGGGATGCGAGGGGAAGGGAAGGTGTGTGTATGGGAAAGGGAAGGTGTGTGTATGGGAAAGGGAAGGGGTGTGTAGAGGAAGGAAGGGGTATGTAGGTGGGACTTAAATGGTGTCTGAAGGAGATTAGGGGTGTGTGAGGGAGGGAATGGGTGTCTGGGGGAGAAAAGGGGTGTGAAGGAAGGAAGAGACGTGTGGGGAAGAGAAGGGACTGTCTGGGAGAGGGAAGAGGTCTTTGGGGAAGACCTCTTCCGTAGAGGTCTTTGGGGAGGGGAAGGGAAGGACCTACGGGACCTGTTATTCTTGCTAACACACAAGGATAACAACCTCGCATTTCATGTTCTTCCTGATTCCATGTATGACTAACCATCTTATGAGCTGGAGGATATTAAATAAATTTATAGCTAGTTTTTTTATCTACACTTTGTAATCTTTAATACAGAATAGGGTAGCATCACATTGTTGTGTATACAGAAAATGTACCAAAAAGGAGAAAGAACAGAAAGGGAACAAGATGGATAACACAAGTAGTCAAATGAGCGTTAATAACTAAACGAAATCTTTGGAGACGGAATAAATCCACGATGAATATCATGGATTATGAGATATATAAAAGGGCATTAAATTCAGCTACCCAGGAAATCAGATTAGCCAAAATAAACCACGAAAGAAAACTTGCCCCAAAACATAAAGGAAGATCTAAAATCGTTACATGCATATGTACGAAGTAAAACAGAAACAAAGGACTCTATAGGACCCCCATAAGATGAGACTAAGAAAAGTTATATTGGATGATGAAAGGTTAGCAAACACTCTGAATGAATACTTTACATCATTATTCACACTAAAAAAAATATGAATGACACCCCATCACCCACACAAATGTTTAAAGGAGGTGAAGAGAATGAATTAAGGGATATACCCATTACATGCGACACAATCAGGAAGAGCATTGATAAACTAAAAGACTCAAAAGCCCCAGGTGTGGATGGATTTCAATCCAAAATCGTAAAGGAACTGTCAAATGCACTATGCATGCCACTGAAACTCCTTTTCAGAAAATCCCTGGACCAAGGGATAGTTCCCCCTGGATTGGAAATATGCAAATGTTACCCCTATTTTCAAAAAAGGCAGAAAGAGCTCGGGAGAAAACTACCGTCCGATCAGCTTGATATCACACATCTACAAGCTCATGGAGAGAATCCTAAGGGAAGGAATCATACAGCATCTCACAGAGAACAATCTTGTAAAAACAACGCATCATGAGTTTGTTAAAAAGAGATCCTGCCTTACTAACCTGCTCACATTTCTGGAAACGGTAACCGGCTATTCAGACAAAGTACTTCCGGTAGATGTAGCTTACATGGCAAGTAAGTAATTATCAAAGATGGCATCAAGCCGGGAAGGCTATGTAGCACAAGATGACTGGCAAATGTTTTTTTTTAATGTAAATAAATGCAAGATCTTACATGTGGGGCACAACAATCCAAGTCACACCTACCAAATTGACAATACTACCTTACAACAGATAGATGAAGAAAAGGACCTAGGAGTCAGAATCCATCATACATTAAAAGTTGCACAACAAGTGGGAGCAGCAGTAAAAAAGCGAACCAAATATATATATATATATATATATATATATATATATATATATATATATATATATATATATATATATATATATATATATATATATATATATATATATATATATATATATATATATATATATATATATATATATATCTTTGTCAACACCAGACTGGTGTTGACAAAGGCTTTAACAAAGCCGAAACGTTCACCTCATTTCATATTTCTCTGTGGATTTTCCGCATAAAATGATCAGTGTTTTGTGATCGTCAATTGCATATATATATATATATATATATATATATATATATATATATATATATATATATATATATATATATATATATATATATATATATATATATATATATATATACTGTATTCCCAAACCCTGGGAATATTCAAGCGTACCTTTACCTTCAAGAAAAAGAAAGTAGTCGTTCAATTGTGTAAGTCTCTGGTGTGCCCCACCTGGATTATTGCATCCAGGCATGGAGACCTCATCTTTAGAAATACATAACTGTTCTGGGGAAGGTGCAACACCGACAACAAAAATCATACCAGAGCTTAGTCATCTCACGTACCAGGAATAGTTAAGGGACACAGGGCTAACCATACTGCAAACCAGGCATGACAGGGGGGGATCCCATCGAAACCTTTAAAATATTGAATAATTTGGAGGATGTCGATCCGGACAATTTCTTCAAATGGTCAGATTTAACAGGAAATAACGGTTTCAAGTTCAACAAACTACAATGTAGGACGGAAAACAAGAGATGCTTTTTCACCCATAGGGTTGTATAAACCCGTGGAACTGCCTACCCGCCGAACCCGTAAACGCCAAAATTCTGCTGGGTTTTAAAATAGCTGGAACAAATCATCAGGGCAAATGGGAGGGGGGCCTTTGACAAGCCGCCGGCTTCCTGACCTCATCGATGCCACTAGTGTTGATGGCCCTTAGGAGAATTCAGGTAAATACCGACGCTTGTTAATAAAAAAAATAAAAATCATTACTTATCTACCATTACTACTGGCTGCAGGTAATGAATCTTCCAATGATGAACATTCCAATTGTTAACTATGTGAACAAGAGGTAGGACATACTCTCCAACTCTATATATGTGATTGCACTATTATAAGTAACTTCAGACCAAATGGTATGAGGTATTTTGAGCTGTGCCTTGTATAGTGACTGTTGTGAGCCTCTTGTTGATCACTTGTGACATAAAGATTATTGATGTGAGTATTTGTGTGGGTGATTGGATATGTATGTGTATGTATATGTGTATACGTATATATATATATGTACATGTATGTATGGGAGTGTGTACATGTGTATACAACATTAATAATTTTGTAACTAGCGTCAAAAAATATTATTTGCTTAGCTAAACGAACTATAGGGTTCAGTTCCTGAACCGATTATGTGCCTCTGTAATCCTTTACACCACCGCCCACGGGATGGGTATGGGGTGCATAATAAAGAAAGAAATTGAATTGTAACTACTTCATACACTCAGGAATATTCGAAGATATTCTTGTGCTGTACCCAGATTTTGCTAGTGGGGGCTAATAGATCAATCAGAATACATTTATGTTCTTTCCTGATTTTTTTTAGTCAGAGTTGATTTGTTTTTGTATTTATTTATTTATTTATTTATATACAAGAATGTACATTGGGGGTTAACAGAGAACATAGAAATTAAGTTGATTTTTCATTCTTGTGAAGCCACTATAGCACACATAGCATTTCGGGCATATTGGGGCTGGTATTTTCTCCCCCCTGACTCCATGTATGACTAACCATCCTGTGAGATGGGAATATATGATGACCTTATAGCTAATTTTTGATCTACACTGTGTAATCTTTCATATAGAATAGGGTATAGCAGCACAATTATGCTGTGCATACCTAAGCTTGTTAATAAAAAAAACTTATATTATTATTTTATATAACTAAACAATTTCTTTCTTTATTATGCACCCCATACCCATCCCGTGGGCGATGGTGTAAAGGATTACAGAGGCACATAATCGGTTCAGGAACTGAACCCTCTAGTTTGTTTAGCTAATCAAATAACAATTTTTGACGCTAGTTACAAAATTATTAATATTATATATACATGTACACACTCTCATACATACATGTATATATATACGTATACATTTATACATACACATACATATCTAATCACCCACACAAATACACACATCAATAATCTTTTGTCACAAGTCATCAACAAGAGGCTCACAACAGTCACTATACACTTTACATCTATGGTGAGTCGCACAGTTACTAGTCTTGCTGCAAACCCACCCAACTGGGCGGCAGCTTTACAGTCATATGCATGCGTTACTTACAGTAAGCAAATTTTGGATACTTTGCTAAGATTTCGGGCAGCACATCATTATGAATGAAGTACTTACACATTTCTTGGACACTATTGATGGTGTTATCTCTAAATTCCGCGATTTTTTCACATTCCATTATATAATGACGTAAAGTATGCGAGTAGTTCTGCTGACACACTAAACTAAATTAATTACTATGTTCTTAGCTCTATGTATTATTAGGCTTTGCCGAGTGACATTGCCATCTGTTGCTTGAAATTTAAATTATATATGTTGTAATACTTGCCAAATGTGTCGCCGAGTGCCGAGTGAGGCAGAGGTGGCGAGCAGTGTTGGACCCGACCCTCGGTAGGTGTGGAGAAGCTGCTGGACGAGGTGCATCACATTCAGACGTCTCGTACACCCGCACCATGATCACTAACGCCGGGTCAGTCCACACCTGTCACTCCCTACCCGTATCTTAAGGCTCAACATATGCTTTCTTTGGATATATACGGGCTCACCATAGCCCGTGCTACTTGGAACTTGTTCCGAGTAGCTGAATATATAACAACAACTTTCTTTGGTGGTGCTTTCTTTGATTGGTGCTTTCTTTAAGGTCTATCGCAAGATAGAGGGTTATTAATAAAGCCGTGGCAGTAGCTGAATGACCTTAGTTCACAACTGAAGTGAACCATATATACCCCCAAGAAGCTGGGTATTGTACATCTGTTTCGGTGTTTTATAACCTCAGAGATGTAGGTGGCGCATGTTATAGTTTGTCAAAAGTCACACCATTTGACCTGATCTTATCTGTATAGCACACACTCCCTGATGAATTAAAAAAAATTCAACTCTTTCTTTATTGAAAAACAGAATCAAAAAGTACCAAATTTCATCTTCATAGTATCTCACCATATGCTAGTAAGACTATCTTCTACCCACTTACCCTATTTACTCAAGCCATGCAACTTCTTCAGTATAATCTATTAATTTTTATCTTTATTTTTATATATATATACACAAGAGTTCTTGCATTCCTGTACAGCCACTAGCACGCATAGCGTTTCGGGCAAGTCCTTAAATTCAGTTTTTATTGCATATTTCGACGTTTCAGCCGAATTATAACGGTTTTACTTAATCCTAATATTCCCTGGAATACGACCCTGCCAAATCGTTTAACAACCAGGTACCCATTTTATTGTTAGGTAAATAGAGGCTACAGTTAAGGATTAGTGCCCGGTAAATAATCCCCGGCCAGGATACGAACCCAGGCCAAAACACTCGCAAAATGCCAGGTGAGTGTCTTAAGACTACACCACTGGGACTGCTTTCAATAATGTAGAAATGTTGAATTCAAATTGTTGCAATGTACCTATTACATTTATTGGTTAGATTAAGGATCTACCCAAAGTGCTTTTTTTCTAGTGGCTTTGCAAGAATGTAATGCCCAATCACTAATGTACTTTCACAACCTGATGTACCTTCTTGTATATAAATAAAAAGAATTCAAAATACTTCAGTGGGTAGGCGGTTCCAAGGTTTTATATACCGAGTATACAGGCGGGCTGCTGGTATGTGAGTACAATTATATCTTGTATGCTGTTTCAATGAACTTGTTTTGTAATTGGTTAAAACTGTGTATATTGTTAGTTTAGGCTGGGTTTGGTTAAAGTTTTTAAATTCACTGGGCATGAAGGGACACATTTACCTCAATTTACCAGATGGCCACTAACACACTAGTGGCCTCGATTAGGACAGGAAGCTGCCGGCTTGTCAATAGTTTCCTCGTTTGTCCTGATGTTTTTTTAGAGCGGAATTTTAAGTTCAACAGTTTTTGGCATTTTTGTCTTTGGTGGGGTAGTTGGTTCCATGGATTTATAACCCTGCTGGTGAAAAAGCATCTCCTGCATTGTGGCTTGTTGAGCTTGAAACCGTTGCTCCTTGTTTGCGTTATATCTGACCTTTTGAAGTGGTTTGGATCAGCATCCTCCAAATTGTTTTAGTATTTTAAAAGTTTTGATGAGATCAGCCCTGTCATGTCTGGTTTGCAGTGTTGACCTTGTGGCCATCGACCATTCCTGGTATGAGAGTTGACTTAGTTCTGGAATGATTTTTGCTGCTGGGGTTTGAACTTTCTCCAAAGAAGCTGTGTCTTTTTGAAGATGGTGTCCCTGCTTGGATAATCTAGTGTGGGAAGCACCAGAGATTTGTACAATTGAATAACTACCTTCTTTTCGTTTGCAATCAAATACAGTACTCCATAAACCTACAGTTTAATTACCATGTTTTGGGTTTAATATTAAATGAGTTACGTTCCCTAAAACCTCTGTACAGTGAGACCATTAAGTATAAATTCAAATAAAAGTGGTTTGTAAAAATGGTTTGAAGAATAAAACAATAAATATCCAAATTATTCAAAAGTATCCAAAAAGGCTCCCTTGTGCATCAAGGAATACATCAATGATTTCATTCACCTAACAGAGTATATATATAAAATGCTGGTTTTCATTAGGTTAGGCTGGGGTAAGTTAGATTAAGTTTGTTTAAAGTGTGATTATTGTCATATGTTTATTGCTCTGAATGATGTGATTATCATATATTTTCCCTGTCATCACTTGAATTTTAAACAGTGATTTAAATATAGATATAATTATGTGTGGATATAATAGTTAACCATGATCCATGGAAAAATATTCTAGAACTTTTAGTTGCTTGCTGTCATTGAAGTTGTCTTGTACAGTACCATGATCAAGGCTATTATCAATTCACAATTTGATGTTTTCCGCCAGTGTCTGAATCTAGTTCTGGATGACAGACAGCAGCAGCAAAATCAAATTCAAAATTTGTATTCAAAAGAATGTGTACAAAGAACTTAACAAATTTTCCCATAATAAATAATGTAAATTTTGCAAAATATTTGTTTATTATGTAAAAAGTTATAGCTTACCTTTATGGATGACTCGTGTCATCCTCACATGTGTTTCCTTAGGTTGAACCTTACTACTGACTTTTTTGGGACCCATGGTGTGGTATATTACTTTTATGTTTAGAAACATAAAAAAAAAGCTGAAAAACATCACTCCCAGACACAGGAGGGGTGTCTGTGGGTGATCTATGAGATTTTCCTAGGGTGTCTGGGATTATTTTCCTGGGGACAGAAAAATACTCTCTTCAAATCACTTAGCAAATACACTAATCTAGAAAAGAAATACATACTGTATCATGCTACAATTCATATAAAATTTAGATCTTATTATTCACTGGTACCCATGATATAGGATGTGGAATGTGTGGATGTCTGAAGCTGGTTTCCAGACTTTTATTGCTAACTAATTATTTCTACATATTCCTTGTGCCTCTACCCACACATACCCCAACCTCAAAAGAAAAACACCTCGGGAATCTGTACACCAGTTGATTGACTATTAAGAGGCGGGACCAAAGAGTCAGAGCTCAACCCCCGCAAGCACAAATAGGTGAGAGTACCCAACCAAACACTCGGACAATTTTTGGAGGGTTATATATTATCTTAAAAAGGCACATTTCTACATGTAATATTGTGTGTATGTTAATTATCCTTCATATTACAGTATCGGTAATGTTTTGTTGATTTTTGTCATTAGCTTTATGCAAGGCTGTAGTGGGTTCTTCACCTAATTTTTAATTCACATAGAGTATAGTGCTCCATCATTCATGTCATATTTTAATCAAATAATGATACAGTATTTCTGATTATAAAATTATGCTTGTCTTATTTTAAAATTATAATATTTCTCAATGATTTTTATTTTAAACAAAAAATCAGACATATTAATGCATAAAGAGCATTTGTTCATGTTTGTGATTGATAACTTTATCTCAAGATAAGTACAGTATCTTGGTCACATTGTCATGGTGTAATATTAATTTTCTTTGCCCATAGCAACAAATATAAGGTAGTCTTAGCACTACTTGGACCCTTCTCAGGCCTTCTTGGACACTTCAGGCTTTTTTGGACCCTTCTCAGGCCTTATGCATTTTTTCTATTTCTATGCAAGTTTTCATTTACACCTAAAACATCATCTGTGATTACCCATAATAAATGTTATACTTTCTTTTCTATCTTGATGCCTTTGCAGTAATTGCACCTAATCTTGTATACGTATGTGTCATACTACTTGCAGTTGATACATCGTGTATTGAGATTTTTATCTACGTTTACCTCTCTTAGGAGGTAGACCTCAAACGGAAAGGACTGCTTGGCCAATACATAGTGTTGTAGCAGCTTTTACTTAGGCAAATGATCATGTGTCCTGGTGGGAACAATCCACCAGGACTTCAACCTAGGTTGAAATCCCATCCACTAGTTCATTGGTTCCTAGAGTGATCAGGCACCATTAAGGGTAATCGACTAGTTCTCGTATCAAATTACACCCCATTGTTTTCATGGTGAGCTGCTGACACTGCAAAACTCCATTTAGTAACATAATGAGAGCCACTAGTATCAGAATTGATGTGAACCCGGACCCGTCATATTTCATATATTCACGGCGTAGAGGAATGGCAGATAGCGCAGTTGATGTGGAACTCTCTGGGAGTGGTGTTGACCTGGGATGCGGCAGTGGTGTAAAATCCTTGTACTGTACTGTAAGGGATACGCTCACCACATTGTCATTACCTATAACAGTATCACTCGTGTCTGATCGTTGTTTGGTCATTATTTGGTCTTGGGGTGTCACTTTAACTATCAAGGTTCTGTAGATACAAAACCTCACATTTCATTCTCTGCGAGTGATTTTTCCACTATGCAATCCTTGGGTGGCCAGGAACTAGGTGTACATTGGCCATCCATGGTTATTCGCTACAAACTGAGCCTACCCGCAACCATGGAGCAAGCTAGGGAATTTTTTCTAGATGGCGGATGCTCACAGGAGGCCCAAGACATCCATCTGCTACCCAGGTTACCACATGCGTGAGTTATTTTCTTCGTAAGCGCACCGTCCGTCAACAAAGATCTCGATGAGCACATTCCACGGGGTTAAGAAAATGAAGAACACGATGGTACGCAAATATTTTATTTTTAGATAAATTACCTGAATTTATCATAATTAGCTTTTATTAATAAACACTTCTAATGGCACACTTTATTTTACAGAAAGCTTGCAGGCCGTACTTTGTTCATCACAGGAGCCAGTAGAGGCATTGGTAAAGCCATTGCTCTTAAAGCAGCTCAGGATGGTGCCAACATTGTAATAGCAGCCAAAACTGCAGAGCCTCATCCAAAATTGCCAGGAACAATCTTTACTGCTGCAAAAGAGAGTGAGTACAAAAGTAATTCTGTAACTACTGCTGAAGTCTTGTCTCTTCTGCAGACATGAATCTGTTAAGTTGCCCTAATACCTTTCTTGGATAGAATCAGCATTGGCCAATTTAAATTATTAAAAGGCAGCTTCTGTAGTGTAATATTTATGAAATATAATGACATGGATAAGCCATCCCAGAGAGCGGAGTGACATAATGTTCAGGCATTATAAATGCTCTTTCTCCTGCATGAGACCAGATAATTGCCATCAGAAAGGATGATGAATCATTTGTATACACTGTACAGTGTGTCAACTATAGCAGGTTCTTGTACTTTACGAGCTTACTAATTCGGACTCCAGGAACCCAGACCCTTGAGTAATTCGACTAAAATAGTCAGTTTTTGTCTACCAAATTCTGCCAAACCTGGACCAAAATCTGGATTACTGGGAGTTTCAGCCATGTTACTGAATGACATTGTGAGACTTAAGCTCAAAACACATATTACATTGAAATGATATATTAATGCAAAAATCAAGAAGTATAATATCTAATATTATAAAAAAATTATTATTGTTAAGAATTGCATGAGCAGACTGTTAGGTGTCATTCCCATCTGTCACCCTACATATCATGCCCTAAGCGAACCTGTCCGGACCTGGCCAACCTATCCAGCCATGTGTTTTCTTCTCATGCATCATTCCACAGTGCTCCTGTTACTGAAAGATTCTCTCTCTCTGTCTTTGTCTTTCTTTCTCTTTCTCTCTCTGGCTTCCTCTGGCTTTCTCTCTCTCTCTGGCTTTCTCTCTCTCTCTGGCTTTCTCTCTCTCTCTGGCTTTCTCTCTGCCTTTCTCACTCTCTCTGGCTTTCCCCTCTCTCTCTGTCTCTCTCAATATAATTAAATTATATGAACATGTGTGCTGATGATGCTAAGACAATATGGAAGATAAGTAACTTGGATGATGAAAGATAAGGAATGAGAGGTGCCTCTCGTGTTGAATTAAAAATTAATCGGGTCAAAATTTTAACTGTTAAGAAATGAATAAAGTGAGGTAATTTATGTAGAGGGAGAGAACTTAATGTGGAAAACTTTCAGTATTTTAATCATTGTTTCCTAAAATTGTTCAAGTATTATTTTTATTGAAAAACTTTTTTAAAAGGCATACTGTACCAATATAGATAAAAATCCTAATTTTTTTTTTCCTATGCAGTTGAATCGTTAGGAGGGCATGCTCTGCCATGTGTTGTGGATGTTCGCGATGAGGAATCTGTGCGGCAGGCTGTAGATAATGCTGTGAAGCAATTTGGTGGGATTGATATTGTTGTTAACAATGCCAGTGCCATCTCCCTCACAGGAACCTTGGCAACTCCACTGAAAAAATATGACCTGATGCATCACATAAATACCAGAGGAACATACCTTGTGTAAGTTACAGCTCAATATTTTCTGTATATAAAAATTTTAACAGCTTTAAATTATTTTCTGTGGTTAGCCCCATCGGCTCCCTAAAGCTATCCGAACTGATGTGTTCTATAATAGTTTAGTATCATCGTCACAGGAGTCCTTATGCCTACCGGGAACCACAAGCCTGAACCTGGCTCCCTCAGACTCAAGGAGCAATGGCCACAAGCACTTTAAATGTAAAGTATGTCGTAATTGCCATTGACCGATAAAGCACCCAGAAAGATAGGCAATACAAAACAAAACAGACCACAAGCTGGTAAAAATTGCAATGTACGTCCAAACGTAGCAGAACTCCCCAGGAACAAAAAAAAAGTAATATTTCTTTCAACTAGCACCTCTGCTCGTTAGCCCCCTCCTCCCCCAGGAAGAGGAGCCAGAAGCCCATCATTCCAGTTCTTGAACTGATGTGCTGGGGTCAGCTTGGTCACCTCTGGCCTCAAGTTCCTGTTCTGGATTTTGCCCTGTGTGGCTGTACCAGTGCTCTCTGGTACAGTATATATAAATATGAGTAAAAAAAATGAGATATTTTATTCTTTGCATCAATTTTGTGCCTAGTGATATTGCCTGATATGTTTGTCCAGCTCCATAGCCTCCGGTGCTTAGTATCCTGTCCATATTAAGGCCATTTTAGACATGGGGCTCATTTTTATCCAAAACAGACAACATATTTAATACAGTCTAATCCGCTGGCAAATGTGGTAGGTATGGCTCCCCTTCGGGTTCATTTCAGTTTCCTCGGATTAGTCTTTTTGGAGGTTTTTTTTCCTCTCGGCTTCCCCCTGGGAAGGTTCAAAAGGCCCTTGGGTCATACCTCCTGCGAGACCCAGTTTACGCCTCTGTTGGGTCCGGTTTTGTTTGAGTTCGGTTCCTCTTAAAATTATCGGGTGCGATACGAGGTCCCAGTGTCTTCTTGGCTGGCAGACTGCCTTGACTGGTTGATGTGGGGCCCCTGCCAGTCTGCTACCTGGGGTTCTGTTCTTTCCCAGCTTGCCAGGTTTTAGTTCCTGGTAACTTGGCGGAAGTCCAGTTGGTTCCATCCTGGGTTCGGCCTTGGCTGGGCCTAGTGTGGGTTTCTCAGATTGTGTCCGTTTCTCTCCCTCCTATGGCTTTTCTCTGGTTTCAGTCCAGCCTTTGGCCGTTTTGAAGGGTACCCGGGTCACTTCGCGGTTGCTCGAGTAGCTGTGCCAGAGCCTGAACTTTGCCCTGCTGGTTTATCTGCTGCGCAGGGTTTGGCTTCGAAGGCTGTTCTGGTACCTTCGGGGCGGTCTCTTTCACTGCTCTCTTGATTGCTGGGTTAGTTCCCCGGTGTCCTTGCGTCGGTTTGCTGCATCTCTGGCTTCCTCTTCGGGTTTTTGGGGTTCAGTGCCATGGTGCCTTCCCCGTCTCTCGCTCAATGTGTTTACTGACGCCTTGTCTCTTGGTTAGGGCTTTGTGACCAGTGCTCACCAGTTCGAACAGGGTTGTCAGGCTCGCAGCACAGTGTGGGAGTTTGCGACGGTGTGGCAGGTGCTGTGATGGATGCGGCTTCCTCTGTGCTCAGGCTCCATTCGGAATGCTTCCCCGTAGTTCATTGTCTTCTGTCCATGGCTTTGGGGCTAGTTGCTATGGGTAGTTCTTCTGAGTTCCCGGGGTTTAGCTCTTCATGCTGTTCAGGGAGTGTCCGACGTCTTGGCAGACGGCCTGTCGTGCTTCATTTCACAGAGTGGACCGTTGATACTGCCTCCTTCCTTTGGCTCTGTTGGACGTATGGGTGCCCAAAGGTGGACCTCGTCACGTCGGCGTGGTTTCGGTATCTCCCATTGTATGTGGCTCCACTCCCCAACTGCTATGCCCCCACGCTGAACGCTTTTTGTCAGGATACCTCTTTCTCTTGGTCCAGCTGTTGCTCCGGGTTCTGGCTCGACTCAAATCCTATCAGGGGAGTGTGGTTCTCCTGGCTCCATGTAGCCAGCCCAGCCTTAGTTTCAGGTCCCTTTTTCAGCAGGTCGGCTGGTGAAGTACCTTGTTGGTTCGACTTGTTGTTTTGATCTTTGCATCTGGTTTTTCTGACACGGGTGTATCATCATTTGTATCGTGATCAGGTGGCTTCTTTGGTAGTGTCCCACCTGCAGTCTTCGTCTCGGCAACATCATGAAATTTCTTGGCGATCTTTCCGCCATTTCCTTTCCTTTCATAGAGGTTTTGTCTAGAAGTTTCAGTGGTCTTGTCCTTTCTCTCCTGGTATTCTTTCACTTTCACTAGACCTTTCATTTTCACATCTTGTGCCGAATACTGTCGCTTCTTATGGTGGCTTCTAACCTTCTTAGGTTAGTTAGGCTAGGATTGCATTGTTGTCCAGTGGCAGACACAACACATGATGCACGTCGCTACCTGCGGGCCACTGGTTCTGTGAAATTCAGTGAAAAACAATGAAATTCTTCACAAAGAATTCAAGCGTGGTCGTCACTAGGCGGGATACATTGGTAAACTGAGCGTGCCTCACCCAGCAGATTCCATGTGCTCGATGACAATACATGTATCAACAAACTCGTACACCGAGTCAAATTTTACAAGGAAATTGACTTCGTACCAAACAATATGTAAACAGAGGTTCCACCGTATATTGATTTTTTTTTTTTTTTACTATTTTTTGTGGTCCATAAAAGCCTCCCATATTTATAGAATATTGTTCCACATTTGGAACAAATGCTTCATTAACACATGTTCAGAATGTAACTCATTTGTAGTTGGGACTCTTGTGTGTACTGAGGTTGATGAGAGAGATTCTCCTTGATCTGTCTTGCAATTAATCATGTTATCTAGTTCAATCTGACTTAATCATAATGCTACCTAGTAATACCACATAGCAATTCAGTCTTGTTCTCATCTTTTGCTATGTCCTATCCATAAGTACATGTTGTATAACAGCTATTTAACCCAATGTATTTTCTAGTTTAGGAATGTTATGACTACAGTTGTTTCCCCCCTCCTCCACTCCCCCCATTTTTTCATGCTCTTCTGAAGTCACATGTTTAAATCTGAACCACTTCCTTCTCAAAGCCTTAGCAGCTTAGTCTCTCTTCCCAAGCAGTAATGTTTAATACTCTTGCAGGTTAATACTGTACTCTGGTATATTAATGTGCTATTCAAAGTTTTCTTCCAACAGATCCAAGTTATGCATCCCCCATTTGCTAAAAAGTGCAAACCCCCACATCTTGAATATATCTCCTCCTCTCAACATGAAGCCTCGCTGGTTCAAAGATCATGTAGCTTACACTATGGCTAAATATGGCATGTCTATGTGTATTTTGGGTATGGCAGAAGAATTCAGAGATGATGGCATTGCATGTAATGCACTTTGGCCCCGCACTGGTAAGACCTTGAAATGTTAGTCAGATATTTTCCTGTTAGTCTTTTGCAACTTCAAAGACATATTAAACATTCTTATGGTATGTATTTAATTAAGTGTGCTTTCTTCAGGTAGCTATTTCTGGGTATACCAATTCATATAAATTAATAGGAACCAACCCTCTTCTAGCACATCATTGTTGCCAAAAATCGGGCCTTGCATAGTAGGCCGAGAAGTGCGTTCTATCTACTAGGTACGACATATGTATATATATAAATATATATATAATATATATATAAATAATATAATATAAAAATTAATAATAATAAGTTGAAATATTAATGTTAATGTTTTATAGCAATCATCACTGCTGCCATGGAGATGTTGGTTGGTGGTGAAGTCAACAAGCAGTGCAGAAAGCCAGAAATCATGGCTGATGCTGCCTATGTCATGCTCTGCAAGGACTCAAGATCATACACTGGAAACTTTGCTGTTGATGATGATGTTTTAAAAGCTGAGGGAGTGAGGAATTTGGACCACTATGCAGTTGATCCAAGTAAGTAATAGAGTATTTTTTACATGTACTCAACTGTTTATTATTCAAAGTAAGGTGCAACAGATTTTTTATTTTGCATTTAAAAAAAGCTAATTTTGATAAAGTGCAATACCCATTAGTCTTATTTAATTTTCCTTTGGGTGTCTGGGCAGTTGAAATAGTTGATTATTAAAGTTGGTACTGGTGTGGCTGGCTGTGAGGGATTCGGGCTGCTCCCCCTCTCCATATTAACTGCTGTACTTGTAACTTTTCCATTTTTGTAGTTTTTGGTATTGATTCTCTTGATCGTAAGTATTCTATTTCTCTCATCTTTCACTTCTTTTAAAGTGAAAGAAACAGACAGCTCTATTTCTTTCTCAATAAGCACAATATATTGACCAGACCACACTAGAAAGTGAAGGGACGACGACATTTCAGTCCGTCCTGGACCATTCTCAAGTTGATTGTGACTTGATAATCGACTTGAGAATGATCCAGGACGGACCGAAACGTCGTCGTCCCTGCACTTTCTAGTGTGTGGTCTGGTCAACATATTTCAGCCACGTTATTGTGACTCAGCATCTGCAAGCACAATATACTCTGCTCAAACCAACATGGCTTCAGGCCCCATAAAAGCACCACTGATGCTCTTATAAATATGTTTAACATAATACATAGTCAAAAATTAAGTCTTGTAAAAAATTAGTACCTCATACGACTATTAGTTGGACCTATGTAAGGCTTTTGATACTGTTAACCACAATAACCTTCTTTTCAAATTAACACTATGGAGCATACTCCAGGATTGGTCTGACATAAGTGGTATATCTCTTCCTAAGCGGGACACAGCGAGGTTTAGTTTGATGGGCAGCAGTATGTTTCAGTTAACGATGCTGCTACTTCCACTCTAACAATTAACATTTGGCTTTCTGAAGGGAAATATACATGGTCCACTCTTCTTTCTCGTATATATATCAATGATCTTCCAAATATCACACAATATTTGAAGCCAATTCTATTTGCTATGATACAACCTTCATTTTCTCACATGCTAATCCAATTATTCTAAATGGCACTGGAAATACTGAACTAAATAAAGTCCATTTTTGGTTGACTGCTAACAAACTTACCCCCTAACACTATCGCTGCCCCGACGGGCAATCCACCGCTCACCGCAAGGTTGGCCAAGCGTTGCCCGTGAGCTCACCACCACACTCCAATGTTTATACTCTTCGGCTCTCTCACCTCAATTTTCATGCTACATCGTTCAATTTGGTATCAAATTGTTTGCAATAGAATGCTGTAAAGGGATACAGTATTTGCATACAAGAACATGTTTCACTTTTCTATACTACTGAGGAACACTCCATAACGTTTCTTTCACTGCTTTTGTCATGGATTGGCTCTGTTCTTGATCACTAACCATCTTGAAGTCAATTTGTAGTGTTTATAAAGCTGGTAACAACAATACCTGAGATAAAATTACTGGAACTGGGAAACGTTTTGATTGGAGGGGAAGCAGCGGTGGTAGGAAGCAAGGTCACAGGAACCATGAGCCTCCAGCATGTGTGCGTGCCCATGCCGCAGAGTTGGGATGCCATGTGGGGGTATACAGACAATGGGAAGACGTTGGCACACAGAAAAAACCATAGTATTCAGACAAAAAATTGAATTTTTTTTCACTGCCCGATGCTGCGTATTCTGTCAGAGCCAATATACGAAGTATGCCCGGTGACGCAAATAGGCGTCGGTAATCTAAATATTTGCAGAAATTCCATTTATTGTCCAAATACTATGGGACTTGTCTTAAAATGTGTGCCAACTACTGCCCATTATCTGTATACCCCATGTGGCATCCTGACCCCACTGTGTGGGCTCTCACCCACGCTGGATGCTCACTGTTCTCGTGACTTTGCTCGTGATAGCCACAGCCTCCCATAGAGTTGAAAAGTTTTCCCCATTCTGGTTATTTTATCTCTGGTATTTGTTGTTACTGGCTTTACAAATACTGCAAATTGACTTCCAGATGGATACTGATGAAAAACAGAGCCAATCCATGACAAAAGCATTGAAAGAAATGTTCATGAGGGAAGACGTTTTTGTGTTTTCGTCGAAAGAATAGAATAGTTATTATTTTCTAGGAACGTTCTCATTTTGTTAATACTAAAGGAAAAGCAAGTTAAATGTTTTACACCCTCACACTTTGTTAGATTTTGTTTACTATTTTATATTTGCCCGAAATGCTTTGTGTAATAGTGGCTTCAATAGTATGTGCAACTCGTGTCCCTACAATTGTACATTACTCCTATGTTCTTTGTACACACATTCTTGTGAATAAAGATTATGATTATGAAACTGAGTATATAGATAAGCCTTATTTAGTACAGAAAGTTATGAAAACATTGCTCTGTTTGCCCGTGCTTTCTTTGGATTCCATTTACCTGGCCAGTATGGGTCTCGAACCATTGACCCCACGCGTGTGAGGCGCTGTATCGACATGTGGGGGTCCACAGTTCGATACCCATACAGCCCAGGTGAATGGAATGTTTATTGCTGTTGAAGTGTGGACGACAATTTTACTTTCTTTGTATGTTTGAAGTAGGCTTGCCATGGAACTGGTTTCTTGGAAGGCAGTCCCTTGTTCTCCATTGTGAGGGTTTTTCTGGGTGGTCTACTGTCCTACTTTTGCTCCCTCATCCCTTGTAAAATGTTAAACCTTCTGTATTTATAAATAAAAAAAACAAATTTTTGTGGTACATTCACTTATAATTAATTAGCAGAGGCTCTTACATATAACCAATTTATATTTTTTTGGTTTACAGGTGTTTCACTTATGCCCGATTTCTTTTTGGATGAATTTGACAGCTTCTCGGCTAAAAAAGCAGCATCTGCTTCTAAATTTGTTACTGGCACACAACAGCAGGCAGCTTCACCCGAGGCCAGTGGACAAGTTTCCCAGGTAAAATTTATTTTGTTTTCATATAATTTAGTCACTTCTGAGCCTAGGAGATGGGTTCAAACCCTGTAAATGGTGTTTCATGCTAGAGTGGCAAGTATCGTGATGGTAAAAAATGAGAAAATAATTTAGGGAAGTATAGACTGAGTTTGTATGATGGCAACAGAATTTAACACTATCGCGTGCGGCGTGTGAGCACTGCAGACTCTGACGTCATGGGGCAGATGGTGCGGGCGAGCGTGCAGCGACGCCTAAATGTGTATACTCGTTTCAGTTTTCTCACCTTAATTCTCGTGCTATGTCGTTAATTTTGGTATCATTGTGTTCGCAATGGAATTGCCTACAGGTGTATATGCAGATAATGTCCAAAAGCCCAGCGTGACTCCCCACAGCAAAGCCTAAAGTCGGAAAAGTTACCCGTGAGCTCACAAAATCAGTAAAATGTGTATACTCGTTTTAGTTTTCTCACCTTAATTCTCGTGCTACGTCGTTCGTTTTGGTATCATTGTGTTCACAATTAAATTCCCTGCAGGTGTATGTGCATATAATGTCCAAAAGCCTGGTGAGACTCCCCGCAGCAAAGCCTAAAGTTACCCGTGGACGAGCACCAATTTGTACACCACAACCTAATGTGTGTACTCGTTCAGTTTGATAACATCAATTTTCGTGTTACATCGCTCGTTTTGGTATCAAATTGTTCGCAATATAAAGGCGCACATTTTAAAACTAGTCTCATAATAATAGAGCAATAACTGCAATTTTAACAAATATCTTAATTTTGAACTCTCATCATCACAATTACTGTATTTATCTTTTCAGTGTTCTGACATCAATTTTTGTGTTACGTTGCTCGGTTTAGTATCAAATTGTTTGCAATCTAAAGGCGCACATTTTAAAACTAGTCCCATAATAATAGCACAATAAATAGAATTTTAACAAATATTTTAAAATTTAAAATTTTGACCCAAAAACGTATTTATAATCTTTCAAGTGTTCTGACATCAAGTTTCGTATTACATCTTTCATTTTAGTATCAAATTGTGCACACTCTAAAGGTGCTGATTTTGAAACTATCCCGAGGTCAATCAGATAAAAAATGAATTTTATACAATTATTTTTAGCGAGGACGCGAGTCCTGTCCACTGCTAGGACTCGAGAGAAAAAAAATGGACGTCCCTACACTTAATAATGCAGCCGCAGAATTATATATACAAAATTTTAAAATATTTTTATTTATTTTTTTAGTATATCAGCTAAGTATTGGAGTTTTACTTAAGGTGAAAATATACCAGTTGACCTATGCATTTACACATTATTTTAGACAATTTCAAATTGCTCTTGTGTAGCTCGCGATCACATTCATTCCAAGATATACATTAATGTTGAAATCAAATCAGCTGTCAGGATAGATAAAAACAATTGCCATAGCACCAGATGAATCTATATCAACACTTAGGCTGCAACCATCATCCTGTATTGATTCACGGGATAATGCAGATATCGTTCGTCACATGACAATTATTGTGTGCGTTTTACACATATGGTGCAAGTAGGGATATAAAAGATCTATGTGGATGTAATGTAGTTTACCTTGACCCTTGAAAGAAATCCTGCCACCATTTCCTGGTTACAAATGCAGTTATCCATGAATGTTACTAGCGGATTTCCCCTCCCTTTCCATCCCATGGCCGTCGTGAGGGAGCTTGGTGGACGGCTGCTGGAGTGTGATGCTCCATGGAACATTGTCCTCTGTCCTTTTGAAGCCTTATGCTCCTGCTGCCATCTTCACAAATTGTGCTGGGTGTTTTTTCCTCTTCCTTATGTTTAATTTTATCTCTTCCCCTTCTCCTTTCTGATTATTTCTAACCAACTTTTTACCATTCTTGATTATTCTTTCAGATGTCTTCTTCTGTTTTGACGCCAGTTGTTTGGAGAGGCACACTCAACAGTAAAACTGTGGTACCTGACGTTGTCGAGCAAAGGGGATGCTTTTATTGTCAATCTTTGCCGAGCCCAATCTCGACGGACTGACGGTTTTCAAGGTGGCGATTGCAGGGTATATATCCATGATTCACCCCTGAGGGGGGGGGATGCATCTTGTCGGGTGTCCTATCCTCTAATTGTGGCTCCATGGTGGATATGGGGGCTTATTCATGGATTAAATTTTTACTTGTTCGTTTATATGCCGATATCTTACCCTCTTTTTAACTTCTTAGACTCGTGGGGTGAGCGACCAGGCCTCCTGAGTCGGACTGTGATGGAAAGCCGGGCTCTGTAGCCCTCCGCTATATTGGGCCCAGACCAAGCTGCTTCTGACTCTCCTGACTACCCCTCTCTGCTTCTTTCCCACCTCTGTGACAGGGTTGACCCCCAAGCCCCAGTGGTGACTACCAACTCACCTGGAGTGGCTCCATTTCTTATTATAACAACTGCGCCTTTTACCCCCCCCCCACTCTTACTGGGGATGCTCAGCGCCATCACTTCAGCAGTCGCACGTGCACATTTTGTTTCAGTTCTAATACATTCCAAGCTTTGTTTGGTCCTGTTACATAGATTACTGTATTTTGATCACGGTCGTGTTGATTCTACATGTCTGGATGATTTATTCATCCGTAAACACCTAGTTGATTCGGTGGATACCTATGTCGCTTTTAACCCCACCCATACTGGTACATGTGTTGTTGAAGCCCCTACTCAGGAAATGGCTGACCGCTTAGCCTCATTGTCCTGCATTGCCTGCGTTGGGGAGAACCCTGTTCAGATCTCAAAAAAATGTCCTCTTAAATGCTAGCATTGGCACAGTTATTCTCCCATACCATGTTGGGACTGGTGATATAAATCTGAAAGTGTCACGAGATACAGATCTTTGAGGCCCAAGGCTATTATATCCTTCAGATCGATATGTTCATTAGACTCCCTCGGGGTGGTGGTGGTCGTCAGCCTCTTTGCTTAGTGAAGATTACTTTTGATAGAAGGTCCCTTATGTCTTCCGTAATTCTTGCTGGTGCCAGATGTTCTTTTCAGGAGTATATCCCCACTCCTTTCCTCTGCAATAGGTGCTGGAGATTTGAGCATGGTCCCTTCAAATGCACAAGTGTGGTGTGTGTTTGACCCTTGTGTGGAGACTCGGGTCATTCTAAGACAGCGCTCTTCTTCTTAATCCTTAAGCTCCTCCAGGCTATTTGGCCTTTGTCACCCACAGACGCATAAAAAAAAAAAAAATCTTATAAACCTGTTAATTTGTATTCCCTGATCATGGGAAAAATAATAAAAAAATAGTAAGTGGCATATTTTGGCCGTAATAGGGCAGGGAAGTCTGGCAAAAAAGAGGCGCCGACTCGACAAGCGTCAAGGAAGTTCTGCTTCGCCCCTAGCTGTCAGGCAGGAGTTGCCACAAAGATATAATTATCTAATTATTTCAATGTGATTGATTTTTTCTTTGGTTTTTGCTGTAATATTATTCAATAGTGTGTAGTGTGATATATTTATATAATAAAATGTGTGAATCATCGCTGTACTCAAAATTTTGGTGTGCATATTATTGATTCATTTATTATATATGCCCGATATATATGCCCAATATGCCCGAAACGCTTTGCGTAATAGTGGCTTTAGGCATTGTATGTACCTATAAGTCAAACAATCCTTGTAAATATTTATTGTATGTATGTACCTTACCTAAATAAAATTGTATTGTTGTATTGTATATTCATAAAACAATAAACAAATACTTTGTCAGTTATTACACTATAGACACAGGTTATATATATAAGTATCTGCATGTTTTGTTAACCATAACGAACACCTAAGTTTATATTGCAAGTCAAAAAGCAACAAGGAGTGGCCACCACATCTGCCAACCAGCCTCTTGCTGCCATTCACTCCCTCAAAAACTCCTTGCTTGTTAACATCTTCCTCCCACCATACTGTTTTTGCTTTTATTCACTATATACAGACATTATATATACAAGTATCCATATGTTCTGTTCATCTAAGCTGGTATAGTGCACAAAGAGCATAGTGGCCACCCTTACCCAGCATGACTAAGTCATGCAGATGTTGCCACCTCCCTCACCAAAATGGCTTCTCCCAACACTCCATTTGCTGGTATTACACTATATATACACATTATATATACGTATCTACATTTATGTTCACCACCCCCTCCCTGTCCGGCTCATTGTTGCCGTGAGGGGGGCTTGGTGGGCGGCTGCCGGAGTGTGATGCTCCATGGGACAGTCTTCTGTCCTTTTGTGGCCTTATACTCCTGCTGCTGTCCTCACTAATTTTGCTGGACAACTTTTCCTTTTCCCCTTTTGTTTTGTTTTTCTACCCCCCCCCCTCTTCTTCTTTCTAATTGTCATTTCCCACTGACCTTGTGCCTGTTTTGATCATTCTTTTGACCTTCTTTTGTTTTGATGCCCGGGTGTTTGAGAAGGCATACTCTTGCACCCGTAGAACTGTAGTACCCAACGTCTCGAGCGAGGGGACCCTTTTATTGTCACTCCTCCTTTCGTCACTGAACCCGATCTCGACGGACTTGATGGTTCTTGGTGGAGTTTGTGCAGCGTATACTCACAACGCACTCCTAGGGGGGCCCCGGCAAGATCGGCAACATGTCTCTTGCTGGGTGTCCTGCCTCTAATTGTGGCTCCATAATGGGTGTTTGTGGCACATCCGTGAATGAACATCTTTCCTCTCATCTCTGTCGAAATCTGTTCCTCTTCTACCTTCTCAGGCTCGTGGGGTCGGCGACCAAGCCCCTGAGTCTGACTGTGTTGGAAGACCGGGCTCTGTAGTTCCCGCTGCATGGTACACGGTTTGTTCCATTTATCTTCCCCCGAGTGTCCCGCTTTCTCTTCCCGATCTTAAACACCTACTGGACTCCTTGCCGGAGCCTGTGCTCCTGCTGGGTGATTTCAATTGACGATATACCCATTAGGGTAATGTTCAGACAAACACCTGGGGTCGCCTTCTTGAACCGTTCATCTTCTCTTCTTTCC